ACCTAACTCTGCTCATGACTGGAGACGCGTTTTTTCTTCTCTCTGAAGTATCAGATAACAAATGATACTCGTTCACCGACCACTAACGCAAGTCACTTGTTACGCTCTGCTTTGGGTCTCATTTCTCAGGCCCTGACAGCAGCTGTAGCGGCTGGTAGTCTTAGGCAGACAGTATAGCCGGCAAAGACAAGAGAGACTGGAATGGCCATTTCTGGCTTACTAGCCACCCTCAGCCGCTCATACCCAGCCTCAAGTGGTGCACCACCCGAGGCTCGAACTCGCAACCTTTTGGATCGGCGTCTAACGCTCCACCCAGTGAGCCAACAGCTCGTTATCTTACGATTTAGGTCGGGAGAGATTGACACTTGTTGATGGACGTTCACCGATCGCTAAGGGAACTCATTTGTCCAACTCTCCCTGGATAACAGATGTAGTTTACTTCAGTCACTTTGCATACAAATCCGTCAGAAAGTGTGCATGAATTAGAATAATAGTATACATGTTAATAGCATATGCTCGCCCTAACTTCACCCCACCGTTAGCTGGGTTGCAGCATTGCAAACATTTTATGTAGGGCTGATATCCTATACACATTTGCGGATCTCATTAAACAGTGCTCACTAACACCAGAATTTGATAAAATTCAAAGTGGTTCATCCTTTTGAAACACCTTCGGTTTCAAAAAATGACGCATCACCGTTCCATACGGAATCTCTCATCACCCCAACCAGGACGGGTTATTTTGGCAGTAAACATTTGAGTCGTCTACCCAGGGCTCGCACAAGTCTTCTAAGTTAAATGCCGCCCAGGAAACACTTCTGTTTATTGATCTATTTTTGTTTTACAGAAACAAACACGATGCTTTGGATGGCGAGGTATTTGAGATGCTGATTACCTTTACGGACTTCATGGCCTTTAAAGAACTAATGATTGACTACAAAAAGGTAATTTTAAGTTTTCATATACTTTTCATTTTCTTTAAGAACAAAAGGTCCACTGGGCCGGTGTATGTGTTGATTAGTATCGATGAGGGGTACCACAAAAGGAGAATTATTTATTTAGTAAGAGAAAATGTACGGTAGCATTAAAAAGTAATGCCCCCTTAAAATATAGTCTATTAAAAGATATGCACTTGATTCCACGGTTTTTTCACTGTTGAGAACCTGTTTTACCCTCTTTAAAATTAATACTGTTTAGTGTCACATATGCGTTGCGAAAACACCTTTTCTTTAAAATATTATTCCTTCCTGGGGTGAGAAGTCGCAGAGAACTATATCGGGCGGATAAAGGAGGCGCGAAACCGTTGCTACGCTACTCTCCGCCAAAAAATGATGGATTTCGAAGGCAGTATGGGCATCTGATAAGACCCTGCAACTTAAGTGACTGTAAGCCGTGCGTGCTGTGTGAAAAGCAGCTGCGAATCAAGCCATATGGCATTTGAGAAATAAGGCGTTTTTCGTATAAACTGGCCCGACCGCGTCAGTGTCTGTGTGCGTGGAAAGAAATGCCTCTATTCACATTGATGACAATTCGATCGTCAAGATCGATCAATTCGATCGTCAATCCGACCCGAAGATGTCCACTACGTGCTCCACAATGTGGTGGTTCAGGGACGGTGAGTTGCGCATGGATTAGTTCTAAGTCTTAGTACAGCTGCGCTGTATCTATCTCCCTCGCTCTCTCTTTTTTCACCACCATGTGCCTAGTGTCAATACAGTGTCAAGAAGGCCGGCGGTGGAATCAGGCACAGGTGGCTGGTGTGGTGTGAACCTGCACCTACGCGTGCCACCACGCCCCCGTATGTTTGGCACTCATTATGAGCATTGTTATGCTCCACGTTTTTAAGTAACATAAACTGTGGGTTTGCCCGACCGGTGTTCCCAAAACCAACGTTAGAGAGGAAGAGGAGGCGATTGACCACGAGGTGAGCTGTATTCACAAAAAGGCAACTCATTCTCACACAAAGGCTGCTCATATTTAATGAACCGCCTGATGAGAAAGTGTCAGAGACATGGACCAATCAGATCTGAAGCAAGATTGATAGCTGCGGTCCAGATGCACGCTGTCACGACAGCATCGTGGCAGTTCCTGCAGGCCCCTTTCTGTGCGAAATTGAAGCACCGCTAGCAGGAGTGCAGCCCGAATAACGCTCACAGTGGCCTCATCCAGCTCCAG